CACTCTACCAACTCTGACCATAATTTTAAGATCATCTATCAAACCTACGCAAACTTGCCAGCTGCGCTTTCTTCGTTATAAAATTCTAAAGACAGCTGAGTCCTTGGCCATTCATGACTTTAAGCCAGACAAACTTTGTGTGTATGTGCAATGCCTACTTCTGTCTTGGCCGTAGTGGAATAGAAATTTATTTATTTTGTTAATTTAGTTATTCTGTATACCTTCCCCTCAATACTACGATTATTATTATCACCAGTACTACTACTGTTCTCACTTTGAACTGTTTGCATTTCTCATTCTAAATTCAAAATTATTTTTCCAACATCGAATTCTATCTCATTAAATTTGACATCATTTTGTGTAATATTTTATATCAGACGGCTAACCCGGTAATTATACACCCTTTTCAAACATCTATACATCCATCTTATGAATCATTCTATATATGACATTAATCGTTTTGTCACTTCACATTTAACTATGATCATGATCACAAATATTTTAATTGCATTTCATACTACTATTATTATTATTTCATGTATTCACACCTTTGACCTAATTCCCTCACAGGATATAATTTCTTAAAAATCATATATATATATATATATATATATATATATCCACGGAACTTCATCGAAAGAAATCTACCCCCAAGCCAACCTACCAAATTAAAGGTCCCCAAGGAAAACACAAAGAAAATCGCCCTAACATATATAAAAGACATCTCAGAAATCACTGCAAGACTCTTCAGACCTTTAGGAATTGACGTAGCACACAAACCAATAAAATCACTTCACTCAGCCAGTTCTGTGTCAACCAAAAGACTCAACAGCGAAAGAAGATAAAACCAACATCATCTACAAAATAAATTGTAACAACTGCGAAAAACACTACATTGGCCAAAGTGGATGTCTCCTTCGTCTTCGTATCCATGAACATAAACTAGCCGTCAAAAGACATGACATCCACTCCCTCATCATATTGCTGCATACAGACAACCACGAAAATCAGTTCGACTGGGACAACCAACGTTCGAATATTAGACAGAGGAAACACCAAGAATGCTAGTAGGCTGCCTGGTATTCCAGTGAATCATCAATCAATAGACACATCAACATAGACAAAATTTATCAATCGATAAGAAGGAAATCACACAGAAAGGGTCAAAATTCAAGTTGGGGAAACAATAAGTATCAGTACAAGTAGCCTAGAGGGTATGAAAACACATAAAAACAACCAATCACGACGTTGAGGATCACCACCAGGAGAGATGACTAATAAACTCGTGGAGAAATCTAAAAGCTCACTTCAATTCAAATTGAAGTATGCGCTGAAGATGTTGCCTAGTAGGGGGCAATGAAAGCTTTGCAAATAAACCATCCAGTTCAGAGAACACAACTACATCAAAAAGTAAAACTGAATGATGTATTATAATTAACGTGATTGAGTAGTTCAACTGAAATTGAAAGTTAGTCAGGTTAAGATCAGGGTCATAAGGAGTAGAGAGAGAAAATGACTAAAGAAAAATTACCAATTAAATATCATGACAAATTATTTTTATTGTATTCCAATGAATGAGGAAATTTCTTCTGGATACAGAGGTCATGATTCAACATGTGGATTACCATGGCTCCTGCAATTTCAAGAAGTCTGACTCTTAGTCCTTTAGGAGGATTTCCGCGTATTCTATAGATGACAGTGAAGTTGTTTTATAGATAAGCTTGATATCCAAGATCAACCATATGTTCCAGAATACAGTCGCTTGTCACTATTTCACTTGTTTTAAGTTTTGATCACGGATCGCTATCAGTTAGGAAGCCAATGAAAACCACTCAGGAGTACTGGACAGTTATTTCACCCTAATTTAAGATTCATCAGCAGCACACATCCACCGAGTTTCAAACCTAAAACCCTCTGGTTACAAGGTATGCTCGTAGATGATTTAGTCACTGGGATCGAACTCAGTGACCAGCACATGAATTCTGACTCCTAATAACTCATGATTTTAGCGCGACCACTCGCCAGTGCCATCGCTGGCGTGAATTAGTCCTCACTCCTGGAGGTGGGGATCCTGGCTTCGAATCTCCGTAGGTACTTACTACCGATGAGTCCCAAACTAAAACGAAATACCTGAACAGTACTCCCAAGTGGTTTTCAATGGTTCTTTAACTGATATCGATCCGCGGTGAAACTTGAAACAAATAGACATATGCTTAGACCATAAAAATTAAGGAACATATTTGTAACCATATTAACTTGACCTGTAACTAAATAACACATGTTCACATCACGGTATTGATTATGCGTTCCTAGTTTGATCATGGATTGATCCACATAGGGAACCACTGGAAACCAGGAAGTATTAGACAGCTGTTTCCTTTCAGCTTGAGACTCCTCGGCAGTACACATCTACCTGAGTTCGAACTCGGGACCTTCCGGTTAGGGTTAGCACAATACGAAGAACATGTGAGCAGATACAGACTTTAATGTAAGCTTCCTGTATTTCGCCATAACTCTACATCATTTTCTTAAATAAAAACTCCACTACCGAATACCTGTCATGTTCTGCCGTTACATTTTGTATCTCTGCCTACTACAAAATGAATATCCCATGGGAGACATACGGAGCTTCTTGCCGGGAATTTAAACTTGATGCCGACTTAGTGGGAGTCCAGATTCGGATGACAAAGACAGTTGTGCTAGGAACGCAGTTTAGAGGTCAGTCAAAGGTGGCTTACAATAGCACGAACCATGTAGAAGGAAAAGCAGACCGGGAAATTAAAGGTAGAACAATTTATGGCGAAGTTAGACAGCCCGACAGCAAGTAATATAGCATTGCCGTGTCATGGAGCTCAGATCGGACATGGTCAGGAGACAAACAGAAACGTGTTAGTGCCAAACAACTTCACAGATGGATACAGTGGAATAAGGCAGTCTGCATCACCGTGGCACAACAAAAGCGGATAGTACCGAATGGATAGGAGCGACTCCACTAGATACTTTTTGACGAAAGGGGGAGACGGGTGTGGCTCCTGCAAGAATATTGAATAGCAAAAGCGACTGAGGAAATAGCAAAGAGGAAAAACAAAAGATCCTTGTGAGAAAATGTACAGAAAGAATGAACGGAATACAAACGAAGCCCAGTTTATACTGAGTTTCAAAAGAGAACTTTGCACAGAAGTTCAAGTTGCACAAGATCTGTCTTGTTACTATAATGATCAGAAATATCCAGAGGAAACAATGGTGACGTGAAAAAAAAACATGACGGTTTAGTGGATATGAGAGATTACAAATAGTAAATGCATCTGAGCCCCACTGAGAACGATTTTGAGCTATATAGTCACCGATAGTCTCCAATCACTGGTTCTTAACATCTCGAGGATCCTAACCAGGCAGTCTATACCTACCTGCCTACATGACTGACTCAAACCAGCTAGCAAAACGACTTCATGAACCGACTTCAGGTTTTGGTTGAGATCATCCCCAACTGTTCTCTAACCTAATCCTATGTCAGTTAAAATCGCCTATCGAGGAAGGTTATAGTTCGGCATGTATGACATATGCCCTAGCCATCTCAACCTATGTAACTTCATAACGTAGTCGAATGACTCACTCTGCCCACCCCCCCGTACCTAACATTCTACGCCTAAACTCAACATTACTCACCAGATTATATCATATTATAACACGCTAGATAGAACATAAACTTTTGTCGTCATGTCTTCCACTTTCGCTAGTCATATAGCATACACAGTCGTAAAGGAGGGCAGAGCAATGCCCTACCAGGTGATGAAACTACGAGGGTATATCATACAGTGAAACAGTATTATTTACTGGATGACGTTCCGAACAAAATTTATTATTCTTCATAATCATGTCATCAATTATAATCACACAACTTATAAACTTGAGTTTTATAGTTTCCATTGTTCTCTCCTATTTGTCGTAGTGATGGCAGAATTTTCCAGATATCAGGGTGGACAGGTGTTGCATCATTCCTATTACACGTGTTTGCAGTTGATTCGATATACAAAGCTTTTGTTATCAATCTCTCCCTCCACCCTGCTGCTACATTAGATTTTAAAACTGTCATCTTATCCCATCATCTTATTGTATGGTTGTGTGTAACTGCATGCAATGAGTGCTATAGCTGAACTATTCTCTAGATTTCGGGTCAACTAATCTAGGATTTTGCTGGGTTTTCATGCTCCTCTAGTTTGACTGCCCCTGTTCTACTACTTTGACCTATATATTTGACCCGACAATGATCTCAGGTAGGGTATTAGATAAAGTAAATTGTTTTAAAGGCTCCACTGGCAGGATCCTTTAACTAAGAAAGCTTGTTTCTAATTGAGTTTGTGGGTTTGAATGCCACTGTTATTCCTGGATTGTTAAGAATTCTACGTAAGATTTCGAAGGTTCCTGCTTTGCACGGAAGTACTACCGATGATACCTTATTTTTGGTGTTGTCATTATCCTGTGCATGTTTGACATGCATTTCGTCATGAATATTTTCATTTTTATTACCACTATCACTACTACTATTATTAATTTTATTTTTACATTTTCCTACATATTTTCTGACTAATTTATCACGGTAATTATTAAGTTTTAAAGCTTCTCTTATATGCCTCACTTCCTATCTTAGATCTTCTTTGATAGTACTAAGTTTTTTTGCTCTATTACTTAAACATTTCATCAATCCTATTTTTACAATAAGGAATCTAAATCATCAGTAGTACTTCTATACAACGAGGGAACCTCCGAAACCCCAAGTTTCGAAGTCGTGTGATTGTAACTGATGTAATCATTACGAACAATAATGAATTTTGTTCGAAACTTTGTCATCCAGTAAATAATACTGTTTCACTGTGTGATATACCTAATAAACAAACTAACATGGAATTACTTACTATCAGAGTGCCCAAGTTTTACACATATAGAAACTATGAGAGACCCGAAACTCCTACTGATCAAGAAATAATAATTAACCCAAAATTGCGCATAATAACCATAATAATGATAATAATAATAAACTTTATACAATAATGAGATGTAAATTCAAATTTGAAAGGCAAATGTACTAATTTATATGTCTGTACAAAATATGAGAGCATGAACTGAAAGAATAATGACATATACGACAGGACATGCCTAAGCCATGTGTATATATATAAATAGATAGACAGGCAGATGCCCAGATAAACAGACAGACAGGTCGATGGATAGACAGGTACGCACGCACGCACACACACACACGCAAATAAATATGCAAAATGGCAAAGATGATAATTAAGTGTGAATAGTTTTATGGCATCAGCACTACAAACAAACACACGCACGCTTAAAAGCACATGATAAACCAAAATGAAAACTAAATGAAACTTGACAAAAGAAAAAGAAAAATTATAAAAAATAAAACAAAACTGAGAGAAAACAGATTTCAGCACTATACAAAAAGAAAACAACAACAATATAACTTGAATGAATAATATACAATTCAGATAATAATTAGTGTAATATGTATATTGTTTAACGCAGAAGTAATATTAGTATTATTGTTCAACGTGTTCATTGTGTGTGCTTTTTCCTTGTACATTTGTTTCACTGCATCAAATTCCTTTAATTATCATCTAATAAATCATCACGCGCATAATATAAATCAAGACAATTCATTCCATGAAATTGATCCCGACTAATCTCTTCAATAGACATGTGGGAATCTAATAATTGATAGGTATTTGTAGCTTCATTATAACTGTATAACACAAATCGAACAGTTTCATCTGGAAAAGAAAAGTAAAGGAGGGAGGGAAAAAAAGTAACAGAGAGAATTAATTAATGTCATGTGGCAAGTTTGGAAAATGGTCCGTTAACTAATCGATAATCGGTTAAAGGATTTCATCATGAGCTGACATTGGTTAGAGAACCATTGGAAAACCAGCTGGGAGTACTGGATAGCTGTTTCATCCTAGTTTGGGACTCTTCATCAGTACGCATCCACCGGGGCTCTAACCCAGGACCTTCTGGTTACAAGGCGAGCTCGTAGACCATTATGCCACTGGGAACCGATCCGATGGCCCATGAATTCTAACTTCTGCCAATTCACGATATAGCGCAACCGCTAGTCAATGTCTTAGGCGAGTATTGTCCTCACACCCATTGGATCGGGTCCCACTGGTTGAGTGGTATAAGAGGTCGCCTTGTAACCAGAACGTCCTGGGTTCGAACCCCGGTGGGTACGTACTGATGAAGAGTCCCAAACTAGGCTGACGAAACAGCTGTCCAGTACTCCCAGGTTTTCCAATGGTCCTCTAACCAATGTCAGCTCATGATGAAATCCTGTAACCAATCAACCAAATCCCTACAAACCAATACTTGAATAATAGATAATCGACAACTTTTCTCTATGTACCTAAAGTACGTTCATGACACTTTTATCATTTGTGATAACAAATGTCAACTGAATAATGTCAAGCCGTCAAATTTACAATTCAAGTAGAAACCGGAGACACAATCTCATTTCTGGACATCCAACTAACAAAGAAGAATGATGCGACTCTGAGGAGATAATTATATATCGGAAGCCTATCTGAAACCGCCAGCTGACAAACTTTTACAGTTGGGTACTTATCAATCGCCAGCGGAACCTGATAATATCTCTTGTGACTAGAATCCGTAGATTATGCAGCCCCGAATCAGTAGAAGAGGAGATCATCCTTTTGAGGAAGACACTACTTGAGAATGGCTATCCACCACGCTTTATTTATAATCATATAAAGCTGAAAATCCACAAAGAACAACCCATCTCTGTGACGAAGAAGATTCTGTACATGAATGTGACGTTCAAAGGTGACCTTCTGACCGAAATCTTAAAGGGAAGAATATTTAACACCCTGAAAATAACATTCTCTGCTGCTGCTGCTAAATTACGATTGGTATTCTCAAGCCGCCCATTGTTTCTCAACAACTTCAAAGATAAACTATCGCATTTGACCACTTCTATGTGTATCTACCAACTTATTTGCCCATGTGGAGCGAGACATTTAGGTCATTCGATGCGTATTTTATCCAAAAGAGTCAAAGAACATTATCCCGCTTGGCTACAAACACGTAATAGTGGATCAATAGAGAGTGCTAAAATTGAACACATAGTCAGCACTCATCACTCAATATGCACAGAGAATTCATTCAAAGTTATCTACAAAGTCCAAACAAAAATCCCGTTGAAAACGGTAAGCTTCCGTGTACTTTGCATTGCCGAGGAGGCCTTAGCGATCCGGATAGAAAACCCTGATGATTTATGCACACAGAAGAAACTTGTCCACCCCCTCCTTCTACTCTGGGTATAATTCTAATGTTAGCAATGTTTTGTTTTCTGAATTTTTGTATGACATCTTAGTAACATCTTCTTCTTAACCAACTCTTTGTTTACCCTTTCCGCCTATTACATAATTTATTTTTTGGACACGTGCCTCCATTAATATACTATTTTATTTGCGCAACCCTTGTCAATACTTACCAATCTTCACCACCCACCCACCCCCAAAGTTACAATTTTGATTATTCATCACATTTACAATTAAAAGCGTTCTCTGAGAATACGAGCGTGATACGCTTCTGTGTTGTCGAAAATGGGAAGACTTTGCTAAAAGGCAAGTTTCTACAGAAGAACAACTATTCTTTCTTCATGAATGTCTCCGCCAGCAGATTCTACCAACTAGTGTCAAATATAAACCACCAATTAACTGCCCTTTAGGCTGGAAATTAGCCAAACAACACGGAAAACAAATGATGAAATTAATGATCACGGATGCACACAATAGGATTCAAAAATACCAGCATATGATTAGATTCCATAAAGAAAAGGTTGAACAGACTATTACGCCAGAACATCTGTCAACATTGAATACTGCCATTAAAATAGTATGCGAACGACACAAAGAACGAAGACGAGTCGCCCTCAAAGGAAAACTAGCTAAGATATCCAAACAACTATCTGAAGAAACTCTAAATGATTGCGTAGTAAATCTATCAAAAGCAGAAGAACAACTTCTTCAGAAAGGACTCAACTACAATACTGGTGACGCCTCAGTAACAGATTTTTGTGCTTCCTTAGAATCATCACTCAAAGTATCAAAATTAAATGAGGAAGTACAACAAGAAGTACGTCAATGTATCATACCTATACTCAAACAGAAAAGACATAATTCCCAACTTAGCACTGAAGAGCAAAATGCATTGAAGAAACTGAAGAATAGAAAAGATATAGTTATTCTACCGGCTGATAAAGGAAGAACAACAGTAATCCTGGACACAGAAGACTACATAAAGAAAGCAGAGGATTTACTCAAAGATAATAATGTATATCAACAGTTGACAAAAAACCCTATACAAACATTAGATAACAAAATCAAAACAACGTTAAATAAACTAACGAAATCAGGACAAATTACAGAACAAGATCAATGGCGAATGAAATCTAACGGACCTATTTTACCTCGATTCTATGGTAGACCGAAACTACACAAACCAAATATTCCCTTACGACCAATCGTTTCGCTTCCAGGAACACCAACATATAATCTATCTAAAGAACTTTTCAGGAAATTAAATTACCTAACAGAATCATGCGACCATTCTATCAATTCGTCAATCCAATTTTTAGAGAAAATCAAAAACATTCAAGTAGAAGACAATGAAATAATGGTGTCCTTTGATGTCACAGCATTATATACTTCAATTAGTCCAAAACTAGCAATAGAAACCATACAACAATTACTCTATAGTGATGAAAACACAAAAACGCAATTATCAACTTGGATAGAACTCATAAAATTATGCCTTACAACATACTTCCAGTTCAATACTCAAATATATGAACAAATAAAAGGAACACCAATGGGATCGCCCATATCAGGATTAATAGCTGAAGCCGTTATGCAAAGATTAGAATTAATAGCTCTACCTATAATTAAACCGAAAATCTGGATACGTTACGTTGATGATACATTTGTAATAATTAAGAGAAATGATTTAGAATATACTCATAAATTAATAAACAACATATTTGAAGACATCAAATTCACGAGAGAAGAAGAATTAGATAACAAAATCCCATTTTTAGATGTCTTAATCAGGAGAACCAACACAGGAGATTTAGAAACACAAGTATACAGAAAATCAACGACACACACAGATCAAATACTCAACTATACTAGCAATAATCCAGTTACTCACAAACGAAACTGTGTGCAGACATTGTTTAAAAGAGTTCAGACACATTGTAGCACTCCAGAGTTGAAAAGAATGGAAGAAAAATACCTACAAACGGTCTTCAAAAAGAATGGTTATCCACAAAATTTCATCAAAAAGTGTTTAAAGTCGAATCAAAACACCAACAAGAAACCATCATCAAAGACCACAAGAAAATTCATTCTACCATACATGAGGAACATCTCTGAAATAACAGCTAGAGTACTGAAACCGTTTGATATAGATATAGCACACAAGCCAGTCAAATCGCTTAATTCGATATTATGCAAACCGAAAGATCCAACAGAAAAAGGGGATAAAATTAATACCATCTACAAAATAAATTGTATGAACTGTAACAAGCATTATATCGGCCAAAGTGGGCGTCCCCTTCGAATCAGAATCCAAGAACATAAATCAGCCGTGAAAAGACATGATATGTATTCTTTAGTATCAATGCATGCAGACAACTATGGTCATCAGTTTGATTGGGATCATGTCAAAATCTTAAACAGAGGAAACACGAAAAGTGCCAGAGAATTCCTAGAGGCCTGGTACTCAAGCGAAAATGCGATTAACAAACACGTTAATATAGATGAAATATACCAATTAATAAAAAGTAAATCAGGTGACCAAAAAGTTTAAAATCCTAGTCAATAGAAAGTGGTCAATACATATGTGAAGATAGTAACCAGGAGACGCAATTACATCACGCATGAGGAAATTTAAATCATTTCACTTCGTGCTAAATATGGCGCTGAAGATGTTGTCCGGAAGGATGACGAAAGCTTCGCGACTAAACCAACCAGCTCAGAGAACGCTTTTAATTGTAAATCATCCACCTGAGCTACAAATCTTCTCTATTATTCATCACATTTTAGAAACATTTTGATGACGTAAACAGTAACCCTAACTAATTTTTTATTTTAATTTTTGTTTGACAGTCCTAATGTACGCACACACACATACACAAAATAATTATATGTAAATGTGTTTGTACAGCTATGTGTGCGTCGGTGGCACAGCGGTTAGGGTCCGGGGAGTTCGATCCCCTGCCAACGCACACCTGGTCGGCCTGCAAAATTTCGGCTACCGGTACCACATGCTGAAAATTCCATACTTGTACCAAACATACGGTGTGGAATCAAGCTATAATGAAAAATAAAGGGAAAGAATTCGCCACCGAAAAGAGACTTTTCACTGAACTTTGTTATTTTTAAATTAATTAATGACTATGAGGTAACAAACGTTGACAAAACGTCACCCAAAATACCCATTGAGTTATGAAGAAAATAAAAGACAAATTCATCAGCAAACAAAATATTCTTTATCGACGAAATCATCTTCAGAGGCTGGTTGTACAGTCGTATTTATACTTACCAAAAACACGTATAGTGGTCGATTATTGAGTAAGACAACTGGGGTGACATAATTGATATAATTACTCAGAAGTGGCTTTAGAAGTAAAAAATTAAAAGTTGTAAATCACGTGGTACTCAACGGAACAAAGATAGAAATTTGTTAAGGTTGAAATTGCTATTGAGTGAGAATAAAGGTGGTAGTTGAGTGTCAATTTAACCATTGTGAAGAGGGTGAGAAAACGCACAAAAGGAACATATGAAAGTGATAATAAGGAATTAATTATTGAAGCAAAAGCAAACTAAAAGTAAAGTTGAAAATTCCAAAAATTAAATAAATAAAATTTTTTACAGGAAATGACTAGTGAAGAGGTTAAGACCAAGGTAGAATAACAGACTGGACAAACTTTTTCTGTATACAGAGTTCTGGGTTGTATTGACCAGTTGCCAACATCTACGCCTCCACCATACACAAAAGCCGAAATCTGATGCCCTTTGTATCATTTGGCTTCACTTTGTACATGATCTTGAAAGACGACTCTGGTGGAGCTACGTGGCCTGAGTAGCCCGAGCTCATTGCTCGAGAATTGAGCTAGTAATTGTTCAGAGATGCGCTTGGAAAGTGTGCACTTTGTACGGCCAATATAACTAGCTGCACACGAGCAGGTGAATTTATAAACACACATTGAAGTGGCCAGTCAAAAGCGGCAGTTTATCCTTCACACATCCATTGATCATTTGACGGCTGTAGAAATTCATCCTTAGCTCGGCCGCAAAGGCTTTCCTCAGTGATCTGAATTACCGATTCTTCAGAATCTCAGCTGCGGTATCACCTTTAAATTCAACACTCATAAATAGCAGTTTCTTTGGCACCACAGTCTGGATTCTTTCAGGCTTTTCCCTTAACTTCATATTTTTTCTCGATAAATCTTGGAGGATATCCATTCTCTATGAGGACTTGTCTGTGTCGCCCCAGTTGACCAAAAAATTAGCAAATAGAACTCCGGAAATTAGTATATATCTGAGCGTATCGGTGGTTCTGAGGGTAGAATGCTCGGTAACCACACATGCACGTGCTCGTGGGTTTGAAAAGAAATCTGAAAGAAGAAACCTTCTTTACCCACCTACCTACCTACCTGGGAAGCATCGTTCCAACTACAGGTGGACGGAACTGATGAGGATATCAAAGCGAGGATCGGGAAAGTAAGATAAGCTTTCATTACTCTCAAGTCTGTGTGGAGATCAACAGCACTCAGTATGAAAAATAAGATCCGGATTTTCAACTCCAATGTGAAGTCAGTGCTAATTTATGGATCAGAGACTTGGCGCGTCACGAAGGACTCTTCGAACAAAATACACATCTTCATCAATAGCTGTCTTCGCTCAATGCTACTCAATATTATATGGTCAGAAAAGATCGGCAACAGGGATCTCTGTCAATAGACGAAGCAACACAGTAGGAACCAATTTTGCAACAGATATACCGGAAGAAATGGATGTGGATTGACTACTCTGAGAAAACCATCAAGTGATATCACACGCCAGGCCATCGCCCGAGTGGAACCCTAATGGGAAGCGGCTAGTTGGTCGTCAGTGTGAGGGCAACGTGGAGGAGTAAGTGATGTGAAGAGGAGATGAAAGCATATGGGCAGGCGCGTGGAGCCAGGTGAAAACGTTGGTGGAGAAATGAACGCAATAGAGACGTGCGGATGAAGTCCTATGTTCCTCTAGGAACTAAAGGAAACAATAATAATAATAATACCCCAAGAGAGCACAGTAACATAAGGAACCGCTTTCCAGTAGTGATCGTGCGGAAAAGCATGTTCATGCTGCCATTCATTCGTTTAAGAAACTGAATCCCACATAATATTTTGGTTTTGGAATCGGTGTTTCCAATCACTCTTTGATTAGCTGCTCATATCCACCAGTTAGATGGTCGGCATCAGAATTCCTATTGGCCTTTTCACTAGTGTAGGATTTCCTCCCTACACCTCCGCTTGAAAGCAGCAAATAAAACTTACCTAGGAGGAGGTGTAAACGTGGGACCAGTTAAAAAAATCCCTCAGGAAAGACCAGAATCTATTCACTCTCAACCACACACAATGAACACACACTATCTGTCAACCTATCACTAAGATGAGATAAATATTTAAATTGATCAGATTACAACCTCTTACAAAATATATCAAATAAAGGTAACCAACCAAATCCTTAATAATCCACTAAGCGCAACTAAAACGTAGATTTTCAGAATTTCTAATGAAAATTAGTGACGCATTGCAGCAGGTGTACGAATAGTTTCTCATAAATGACACTTCATGGCGATTGTCCTATGAGTTGCAGGGTTACAGGTCGTTGAAGAAGCGCTAACAATGTGCTGTGCCGTAGTCCGAAAACCTCGGATAGTATTCCTTATGTCATATATCCTTAATTTTAAAATAACTACATTCTTGCGATTATTGCGCATTCGTGACACTTTTTGTATTTCCCGCTCTTTTGAACGCCAAGCTCTGATTGGTTGAAAGCTCTTTCAACCTAACAGTGAACTTAATGTTTCTCAAAGTCATTCAAAACTTATATATTCAACATCGCTACGTTTCACATGTCTGCGGTATTGACGTTGTTCTTGTGGTTGACGATTAGAGAAGTTTCCATTAGCACATGGAGTTCATATAGCTCGTAGTAAATGAGAGTCAAACCCCGGAAGCGATGCAACCTTAATGGATCAGTAGTCTAGAATAAAGGTCTCTCTCTATAACAACAGAGAATACTTCGTCTAGTTAGCAATAAACATGTTAATATATTTTGTACTTACCTGATACATCTCTATTGATTCTTTGAAGATTAATACGTACAGTTAAATATCCACACAGATGATCCACTGAAAAGAATGAATGAAGACAGAGTGTATGTTACAAAACGCTGTTAAAAGAAACGTTGATCACGAGAAAAAAAAATTAAAGCAATAATAAGAAAAAAACAAAGTGTTCAGTTGATTTACTGACTAACACAAGTTCCAATATCCAATATCGTTTTTACGAGTTAGTATAAACCAATTTGATTTCAGTAATTTGAAAATTCCCATTCAGTCATAGAAAAGAAAAAGCGTTCAGCAAAGAGTTACTCTTTTCGGCGATATCATTCTCAAGCTGTACAAACCGCAAATTTATAGTAAATTTTCTTGGTAACGAAAGGAATATTTCCAAAGATGTGTTAATGCAATTGTTAATTTTTGACAACAAATTACGTAATTTAGAAGGCGTTAATCGGTTAGAAACTAAAATAAAGTTACAAAAGTAGGTTGGGTCACGTAATCTAATTGCTAGGGTTCAATGAAAAATGAATGAGAGTCAAGTTAATAAGCTGAGTAGAATTCACTTAAAAATAAACGAAAATGGAGTTAGCAACAGTCGTCATGAGGGTGGAGAATTAATAGAGGGTGGGAGTAGAAAATAATGCAATTAAGAAACAGACAAACAAAGAAGAAAGAGGTAAGACAAAATTACGTATTTGGTGTTAAGATAGATCAGGACCATTGTAGATTCAGTGACTGAACAAACTTCTTTTGTATGCAGAGTTCAGGATTCAATATGTGAATTGCAATTGCTTCTGCAGTTTGAAGAAGTTTAATTCGTACTCTTTTGGCAAGATTCCCACGTATTGTGTAGATAACTGAGAAGTTGTTTTGTGGGTTTGCTTGGTGTCCGGATTCGATTGAGTGTTCTAGGATAGAGCTGTGGCGGGGGCATCTTCTTCCTCCTTTATAAAACCATGAAGGTAAGTGTTCGCTGATTCGTTTGGATAGCAAACGCTGGGTACGGTCGATATACCTAACTTGACTCTCATTCATTTTTCATTGAACCCTAGCAATTAGATTACGTGACCCAACCTACTTTTGTAACTTTATTTTAGTTTCTAACCGATTAACGCCTTCTAAATTACGTAATTTGTTGTCAAAAATTAACAATTGCATTAACACATCTTTGGAAATATTCCTTTCGTTACCAAGAAAATTTACTATAAATTTGCGGTTTGTACAATTTGATTTCTTTGTGCTCGCTTCTTGATTGTGAGGTAGAGGTTCCTGATCTTCGGAAAACGTCTGCGTAGCTCGTCCCACCACTCGACTGTCGTAGCTTCGGTTGACTCTAAAAGGAGTAGTGCAGGGAATAATTATATGTGGTTTGTAGTATGAGGTGTGTTAAGACTGTTCCTACTGTGAATGGAGTTGAAGAGGCTATAAAGTTACATAGATTGAGATGGCTAGGTCACGTGCTGCGCATGCCTAACCATCGCCTCCCCCGACGGACGGGCATTACTAGCAGGCTGATATAGGTGCAGGTTGGAAAAGAATAAGTGGTGGCCAAACAAAAACATGGCATCAATCAATCCATGAAATCCTTGACAGTTAAACTGAGTCAGGTAGGGAAGGAGATGCAGACTTCCGGGTTGGGGCCCGCCCTCGGGACTCTAAGAATCAATGGCTGGAGACAATGGTTGGTGACATGGCTCAAAATCCTCGTTGTCAATGGCTTACGCAGATGTATTCAGTCTCTGTAATCTTTCATATTCCTTTCTACCATTACTCATTCTGTTTCACTTCTCTCATACTTGTCAAAACTCTATTGATTCTCTTCACTCATCTTCTTCTTGTCTACCTTTGTGTGCTATTTGGAACGTGACAACTCGAACTGCTGCACTTCGGTGCCAAGTTCTATATTGAATCCAGCCAGCCAGGCAGAATGGAGTTGATCCTTTCACCAGTTGGTGCTTCGGTATCGTCGTTAATAGAAAAGAGATAATAATAATAATAGATATAGATATGATAGAGAAGATTTGTAGCTCAGGTGGATGATTTTGATGTTGTTGTGTTCTCTGAGCTGGATAGTTAATTTGCGCTGAAGATGTCACCCAGTAGGGTGATGAAAGCTTCGCAAATTAACTATCCAGCTCAGAGAACACAACAACATCAAAATAATAGATATAATTAGTGAAGGTATTCAGACTAACAGACAGAAAAAGAATAAGGAAACGTAACAACAGTCAGTCAACCGGTATATATATATATATATATATATATATATATATAAAGGATCAACTCCATTCTGCCTGGCTGGCTGGATTCAACATAGAACTTGGCACCGAAGTGCAGCAGTTCGAGTTGTCACGTTCCAAATAGCACACAAAGGTAGACAAGAAGAAGATGAGTGAAGAGAATCAATAGAGTTTTGACAAGTATGAGAGAAGTGAAACAGAATGAGTAATGGTAGAAAGGAATATGAAAGATTACAGAGACTGAATACATCTGCGTAAGCCATTGACAACGAGGATTTTGAGCCATGTCACCAACCATTGTCTCCAGCCATTGATTCTTAGAGTCCCGAGGGCGGGCCCCAACCCGGAAGTCTGCATCTCCTTCCCTAACTGACTCAGTTTAACTGTCAAGGATTTCATGGATTGATTGATGCCATGCTTTTGTTTGGCCACCACTTATTCTTTTCCAACCTGCACCTATATCAGCCTGCTAGTAATGCCCGTCCGTCGGGGGAGGCGATGGTTAGGCATGCGCAGCACGTGACCTAGCCATCTCAATCTATGTAACTTTATAGCCTCGTCGATTGATTTTCCCTCTTTGCCCAACACTCTACGCCTAACGTTAACATTACTTACCTCATTATACCACCTAACGTGAGAAAGAGATCGTAGACATCTATGATCAAAAACAGTCAACCTTTTCATGTCTTCAACTCGTATTGGCCATGTTTCAGAGCCATAGAATAGAGGAAGACGGAGCGAACTACTGAGCAGTACACACATCCCTTGGTTGATAGCCAGATGTCACATCTACACCAAAGATGGCGTAAGTTAGCGAAAGTAGCCCGTGCTTTTTGGATCCGTGCTCAGATTTCGTCACCAATCAATCCGTTGGTGCTGATACAACTTCCCAAATAGATGAAGTGGTCAACATGTTCTATCACTTCACTCCCTATCACTAAGCTAGGAGTTGACATAGTCCAGTCATTCCTGTAGCAGCATCTTACATTTTACAGCAGCCAGTCGCATGCCAAACATACGGAGATTGCTGCTCCTCAAGGTGTTCAGAAGACTCTGCATTTTACTTGGAATATTATCAGATAATATGGTTAAGAATCGTAAACTATAACGAATATGCTGCAATTTCCTTCTTTCTTGCCTTTCTGTGAAGGTAATATGAAATAATAAATGATCAATAATCTTGACAAGTATGTTTACTTGCTTTCTGGATAACAACCCGCATTCATTCTATCCACATTTTCTTTATGTCCCGTATAGGTGCTTGATTATTCTTGTATGGCGCCTCTCTTGGTACCCCATAGTGTACCAAGTTTCTTTCAATAATAATAATAATAGTAGTGAAATGAGTAATGATTATGACAATTGATCACTTTTGTTGGAAATAAAATAAGAAATATATACAAATACGATTGTACAGCTGAAGATAAAGGTGAATTCACCACGCGGCGAGCCTCCTCGCTAGACTACGCCTAAAGTGTGTGCTACTGACAAGAATTACCAGTAGTATATAGATATAGATTGACAAGAAGTAGACAAAATCGACAACAACATTTTAAATCACTGGCTAGGGAAGTAAGTAGAAGTGTTTATTCCTCAAATATGGATCTGGTGCTCACGTTGTGGTTAGTTAAATAATCTCAAGCTCTGACCCTCGAGAAAATCAGCAACCAATCAGAACAGTTTATTATCATAGACAAGTTTTCATCTCAAGGTTTAACCTTCAGATTATCAATAGCCTATCAGAAGAGTTTATTATCCGCTGACCTAGGCAACCATAAATGTGGCCAAAAATGTATGAATATGGTGTAATTTTCTTCAACAGAAAAAACTCCGATACTACGTCTCTTGTCTTCTCCTGTCATATACTTGTTTCATATGATTGTTTTTCTCATTAATGCCAGAATACGGAGGGGTTTGATAAGTTTCAAGTTTGCCCCCGGAGTGACTTCAGTTCGAAAACCATAGAAAACCAAGAAGGAGTGCTACTGGAGAGCTGTTTCGTCGTTGTTTGGAGCACTCTTCAGTAGCATGTAGCCAGGGTCCTCAAGTCACGAGGTCATCTAGTTGATAATTCTGACACTGGAAGGAAATCCAATGGCCGATCAATTCTAATATTTGTCAATTCGCGATTTTTATTGCCACCGCCAGCTGATATCGTCGGTGACTATTTGTCACCGATCTCGCCGCCTTGTAATCTGAAGGTCTTGGGATTTGATTTCTGGGGTTTGGATCAAGGGTGAGTGCTGTCAGGGAGTCTTAAACAAGGACAAAATAGATTTACAGTACACCCTGACTGTTTCTCAGTGATTCTCTAACTGATATCAATCCATGATCAAACTAGAAAATAACTAGAAAAAAAACAGGACGATAATACTGTCTTTCAAGATGATCTACAAGGTGAGACCAAATGGTACAAAGGGTGTCAGGTTTCGGATTTTTGTGTATGTTGGAGGCACTGGCGATTCGTCAATACAACCCCGAACTCTGTATACAGAAAGCGTTTGTTCAGTCTCTTATTCTACCTTCGTCTTAACCTCTTCACTAGTCATTTCCTGCAAAAAATTTTGATTGTTCTTTTTTCAAATTTCCAATTTTACTTTCAGTTTGCTTTTGCTTTGATAATTAATTCACTATTATCACTCTCATATGCTCCTTCTCTACATTTCACACCCTCTTCACACTTGTTAAATTGACACTCAACTACCACCTTCATTCTAACTCAATAGCAATTGTAACCTTATCAAATTTCTATCTTTGTACCATTGAGTACCACGTAATTTACAACTTTCATTTTTAAATTCTAAAGCCACTTCCAAGTAATCATTT